GAATTTTTTAAAGTACCTTCCAATCATAATAATCATTATGATATTCCATAATAAACTCCATTTATTCGTGTATTCGGGCGGAGGCAGAAACTAGGTGAATTTTACCCTCATCAAAAAAAATGGGAGCTGTCGATGAGGCGCGCGCTTCTGCAAAGAATAAAAAAATATGAAAATTAAGAAAAGAAATACCTCTCACCTGTATTATTAGGGATTGATTATCAAGGATAATATTATAAAAAGTTAGATGCAGTAGTAGACGATTGGCTGTTGAGCAACGTAGCAACGATTCTCGCAAGGAAACGATTCATGACAAATTGAGGGGGCCTATCGTGTATGTAAAATTAGTTACTTATAAAATGCAATTACGCTACAGGTACGAATAGGTTGAACGCTACGGTTTGCAAAGTAGCAGTTAAGGGATTATAAAAAAAAACTCGATGCAACCGAAATAAATCACAGCAACCATAATTGTCTAAAACTGCAAAATAATTAATTGAATGATGATGTGTCACGAACGATTCTCAATTACAACCATCCCCAATGTCCCAAACCCCCAAAAGGCTGGCAATACATAGAAACATAATTTCGCGCCTGTCTCTCATGGGGGTAGACAGAGACAATGGAGCGCCAATTGCCTACGATTCCTGCATACCTCTTTCGCTTCATTAACAGTTATCAATCTTTAAGGCTGGCAAAGCACTTGTAATTTCTCTGGTATTCCGAGTGTATATGGATAGCGCCGATTGCTTACCGTCAGGTGATCTGTACACTATTTTGTCACTCTATCTCATAAATAAACGAGTCGTTACTACTTGGATTGCTATAGTTTAGAATGATTACAAAATAAATCATTTAATTTGTACTTACATATTATTATTGTATAGTTTCACCTACCTTCTTTCTTGAAGCATTGATGAGACTAGCGCTGGGAGGTATTTTCTTGCCAAGTTACATATCCTGTTTGCCTTATATTATTCTTCTTCGGTTAGTAAGCAGAAGACAACGATAGACCTGTGATGTTTTCCAATCTTTTACTCTCTTCTCTGATTTATAAGTTGTCGTTTGAGCTTTATCGTGTCGAACAGACATAATATCTTCAATCTCGAATGTTCTAGAACATCAAGTAGATTTACTTTCATCCGATTTGATATTGGCCAGTATTTTCAAACTCCAACATTCTTTCTAGTTTCTTCGGGAGCAATGGTAGGAAAACTTGACCAGTTTCCTTTATCAACTGTATTTTGGCGACGGACATCTTTGTTTCCTGGTCTCCAATGCAGGTGAGGAGATAAATTGTTCAGAATTAAGATTCCAAGTACCGGCAAGAGGAAGACTCAAACGGGTTCAGGAATCTTGCGACGGCTATGGTTTTCAAAACAATGACGGTGGCGCATGAGTGTCATCACGTTTTTATGCGTCTTCACATCGCATCTATAGTGCCATCTCGCTCACTCGCGTCTCGAGTAATGATGATTGTGTTGTGAACGATAAAAAGTATCGATATCATACTGGTAAAACATAATAGTACGTAATATCGATAAAAATAGTATCGTTATAACTTTTAGTTTAAGTTTAACTCTCAAGCTAATCAGGCGGGAGCAGCCATTCGATGATTTCCCCCCTTATAAAAATAAATATAACTACATATCAAGCAGCACTTTTTGTATCTACATTGTCAAATGTTAAGGTAAGAAAATCTATACAGATAAATTAAATTGGAGTGCCTGCTTGAAACTGTAAAAAATAACCGCTTTTTTCTACATTTACATTAATAAACATAAGTATGTTATAGATACACACCAAAATAACATTGTTTTTAAAATTTTTGTGTACTGTCTAACTGGTAGAACTAGAAGAATCGCCATCTCTGGAACGTGTGGACTGATTTTGCGGGAAATTTTATTGGCAGTTAGCTGATTTAAGTACTTACTAAGGAGTAACTAAGGCTACATTTTTTTTTGGAAAATTGAAACAAAAAAATAGGTACTAAAATTCATATTCTACGCGGACGAAGTCGCGAGCAACAACTAGTATAATATATAGTTTCCTACCCCTATGGCACGCAATCGAAACCATAGATTAAAACCAGTAAAGTGGTACACGGTGACTCTGCACTAATGTCAGACATTCGAATTATTCATCTACCCGCAGAACACACATATCATTTCATTTGAACAAAGACTAGAAAACTGTGATAACTTTTTAAGTAGGTAGGAAATAAAATAACATAGGCGAAGATATTTCGTATCCACGCTGGTTTTCTCTATAGTTGTGCTTGTGGAGCTGTTGTCGAAATATATAGTATTATGGGTAAGTTATCGGTTTATTGAAGTAATTAAGTAATTATAACAAGATTTTAGTGTTAAGAGAACCTATTGTCAACAAATTGAAAGTTTTGCAGATTTCATTTTAGTTGTATTCACTGCAACCTACAGAGAGGCTACGCATAAATTGACGTCAATGATAAATGTGTGTCTTGTTCAAATAGGCGGTTACATAGTTCAACGCAGACAATGTGAGTCTACGTTTCTACTGAAGTGAATGTAATCCATAACTATGTATAACTCGCAGCTCAGCTACCAATACGTATGTGCGTAACCTCTCCGTGACGCCCGTGGAGTTGGTCTTCGTGTACTCCAGTGGTAACGTAGATCCCACGTGGTCAAGCAATTCATGCACGCAGCTGAAACGCGCCGCGTGCATGAATTGGTTCATTCATTTAGGCCTTGAATACACTAAGGCAGGAAACATAGATTCTTGTAAAGAATTCCACTCCTTAGCAATACGCACAAGGAAGCTTGAAAGTTGCACCGCGATGGGCCTGCGCCTTAAAGTATCATTGTGATGCTTACATAATGGTTATAATAATAGGAATTTTACAGCAAATAGATAACACTTGAAAGCACTACCGCGTACCTTTTTTATGTTCGCCATTGTTTAATCCTTATTACAGTCCCATAGAGAAGAAACATTGTCTTTACTAGTAGGTAGTAATCGTAAAGGCAAGCGTTCCTAGGCCACGAGAACCACGTACTTACCATCAGATGGACTGTGTGCGTTTTTGCCACCGTCGCCATATTTTATTTTTACTTATTTAGGGGGATCAGGCTAAGACTGTTTATACATCATATTACAATAAATCGGTTTACAATATACATTTGTTAGTATAACAATGAATTAAAGGTTAACACATCATGCACAAGAGAATAGTTATTCGCCTAAATTTAAATTATTAAACACAAATACAAATTTTACCCTACCCTACAAACTACAAACTATGTTGAACTCATAATTGGAATAACAGAAGAAATACTTAATGTTATGACACAATTCATGATCAATTAAAAAAAAAACAAAGAATTAGGTAGATAAATAGAGGTTAAAGTAGGTAGATAGAAATTGTATCAAATTTTTATAATAGGAATTCATTGATCACATAATTGTTTATTACATATTTGTTCACAATTACTTTAACAATTTTATGGATAGGTACCTACTGTCCCGGTTTAAATCCACCGAGTAACTGCAGCGGTATAAAAAAAGTAAGGATGAACAATCGCCGCAAATAGTCAGTGAACATACTGTCCCTTTGTTTTAATTGTTAAGTAAAACAAACCGTATTCTAATAATAATAGCCATAGAAATGAATTTGAATTTCACCTTGAAATTCAGAAAAAGATCAAAGTAGAAAGCCGACGATACCATATTTAAATATTTGACCCAGATGCGGAATCAGCTTTAATGCTTGACATATATTTCTTGTGTCGTAAGAATGATATTGGAACTACTTTTTTGTTAACATTATTGTAATAGGGTAGATGATTCTAATGGTCGTCTGGTAGATTGTTTTGAAACACTAGACGAGGATTTTATTTTACAGATGTGGATTAAATTAACACTATGTCCAATAACCGTCAAACGTTTTGGCTCGTTTTTAATTTGTGTGTTATATAGTTGATTGATGATTGTAATGTTCGTCTAATCGATTGTTTTAAAAGGATTTTAAGTTTGGTTCGTATTTCGTTCGTCTAATGTTTTGGTTCGTATTGAATTTGTGTTTGTATACAGTTGATAGTTTAGATTGTGCTTAGTCTTTACGCACAGCTTTTTTTTGGTTACGAGTTACTTTACAAGGGCGCCCAGCTTTGTCAGCTGAATAAAGGGTATTTGAAACAAAGATTGGAGAGTATGAGATTCTTACCTTATTAAACCTGCCCCGGTGTCCACCATCATCATTTATACGGTACCCCGTATAGGTCCCCGTAAGTCCTCTTATAGACATACTTCGGAGGTTTAATGATAAATTATATTTTAAACAGATTGATACCACGGCCTCACAGAAAACCGACGTGACGTAAAGCTTGCGTTGAGTTTCGTTGTGTGAGTGAGGTTACCAGAGGTCCAATTACCCTCCCCTTCCTCAATCTCCCCAATTCCTGAATCCCCAACGATCATCAAACTCCTAATCCCCAAAAGGCTGGTGAAATGAAATGAAATGAAATGAAATCGTATCGTTTATTTGTAAACATAGGTTATATAAAGTTGTTTAACGGTACCGCACTTGTAACGCCTTTGGTGTTCTAGGTGTCCATGGGCGACGCCGATTACCTATCGTCTGCTCGTTTACCGCGGCATATGCCATAAAAAACAAGAGATTTTAAGCGAACAATCAAAAAAAGGTTTTATTCATAATTTTATACTTTTCTGTAGGACTTTGTAAATTTCGTTTCTGCATAACATTTTACAAACTACATTGTTTTCTAATCCCCCTATTATTCTAAAACAAAGACAGGTATTCATTTGAAACAATGTGAACCTTTTGACCAATCACAGACCCTAAACGTTTTCCCATGCCCACTCCATTCAGCCGACCACCCTTGTGTACGCGCTGGTAGCATGAATTTTGCACCCATAACTTAGTTCGCTTCCAAGTGTTAACTGCACTGCACTGCAAGTGCAGCTAGTTCCACTACACTACTACTATATATTTTACAATCATAATGGATTTCTTCAAGGTATCAAAGAGCCCGAGCCAACAATCGGGAGCCACAGCGACACCTCGACCGAGACGCGGCAGACCTAGCGGCGCAAACCGAACTCCTCTGTCACTGGTTCGTATAAAATTGTATTGGGGCTGGCTGCTATTTATCCTACATATCCTTTGTGACTAAACAAATGTATATTAATATAATGTGTTTTGCCTTCAGCAAGAAAGACGTGCACGCAACGCTTTCTATGAACGGGAGCGGCGTGAAAACATCTCGAAGGCCACAGAGGAACTTATTACGGTTTTAGGGTGCGCATCGAATGTAAGTTTTAACAACAATGCAATTTATGAGCTGAAATATTTTAAGAGTAATATCTTAATTTCTTTGTTTTGTTCTAGACATCGCTGGGTGATCTCCTCGGATTGGCTGTGACGGCAATCAGCACCGCAAAAGAAGAACAAAAATTAAGGGAAATTAATATAAAATTGAAGGCCCAACGTAAGTGTCTAACAATTTATTGATACATATTATCATGGTGTTTGTTCAAGTAAATAAGTTCCTTAACATTTGTGTCTTGTTACAGTTGCCAGTTGTGTGGAGAGGTTAGGATTAGAATACATAAGCGGTGGCAAAGAGAAGGTGGAGCTGGATGAACCTAATGTAAGATACACTCACTTCATTTATTTTATATTTTGCCGCGTACCTTCGGTTAACTAATTGTTTCGTTTTGTTCAACATCTTTTAATTTTCAGAAACGGAAACGTAAACTGCCAAAACAGTTACCTGCACCGCCACAACCAGAACCAGAGGAGACGGAGGAAATTGACGTAGCTGCTCTTTTCTGTAAGTATTAGATTGGTAATAAGATTGAGTAACTTACCTATAATACAAAAATGAATGGAGTGCAGAATAAATCAAATCTCGAGTGCAGCTAAACCGATTTCGCTGTTTTTTTGTTGGGTTTGTTATTGTCAGGAAAAGGAAATAACATTTTAAGGTTAAACTACCTTAGCGGGCTCCCCTAGTGATTTATGAAATAGGATTCGTGATCATCGTATTTCTCTATTTCAGCCCAAGATCAATTGCAGCTGATATACGCTGCAATTGACGCAGACATTTCCTCCTCGGCGGTGACTTCACCACCGGCAGAGGTGCTGCAGCCACCGCCATGACCGTCTCCACCACCATTAAGGATGAGGATTTAGCTCGGATTTTATGTGAGTATTGTATATTATGTCATATGTTCGATCGTTTTGTAGTAAATACTGTTGTCTCTTTCGTCATATTGGTATTTGATAAAATAGAATTTGTGGTATTAATGTGATGGTAATTCTTTTGTTCCAATATGCGAGACAATAATCGTAAAAATTTATGTTGTTTTCTATAATTTTACTATTTTTTCTAAATAATTTAAATATTTTTAGTATTTGCAACATAATATAATAAACTGTCAATATCGAATCGGCGAGATCTCACGAGATTGTCATTTTATAATCGTAGCGAGATATAGATCTCGTTTGAGTCCCGATCTCGCAAGACTTGCATTCTCTATTCTTGTGTTTGTTCGAGTAAACTTACGCGCTATTGAGGACCGCCACTAAAACCAGTTTTGTTCTTAACGTGTATGAACAGTTATTAAAATTTAGGAATATTTTAAAAATATCCTTAGGCCCTTAAAACTAAAGTCATATACTTTTTCGATAGGTCTAAATTGTATCGATTTTTTACTAATTTTGAACAATACACTAGTTTACACGGTTTTCTTACCCCAGCTGAAAGTTATTTTATTTTGAGTTCAGGTAGAACTATCCAGAAAAAATAATAAAAAAATTCGGTCACGTTTGGTTTGAATAATATTTATTTTCTTGAAGGAAATATTAATTCTCTCTATAGCATTGGCGAACCAAATAGAAGGTAAACTTTTTCTCCTGATGACCACTGGAGTAAGATGATTCTGTAGCTTTCGCAAAATACGTGAGGCATTTTATTTTAATTTACAACAGGAAATCCAAAATAATGAAGATATGCAGTTTTTAACGAATCTGCAATAGGTTTTATCTTTTTTGTAAATATAAACTGTCCACAAACATAACAAAAACGGTCAGAACTTTGTTTGCACTTTCTGCTAGCCATTTTAAATCAATCCAAAGCAAAGTAACTGTCGTTTGAAGCGAACGAATAGACAATAAAATATCACCACCACGTCAGGTAGTTAAAAAACATTTGACTGCAGAAAAAAAACCGACGTGATAAAATATTTCTGCTAACACTTTTAGGTTTAGGGAAGGTAGATTAACATATTGACATACATTCGGTTCGGGGTATAAACGCAATTAAAGATATTTCCAATAAAGTAACACTATGAAATGGTCACCTAACTATATTATTTAGTGACAATTGTTAATTGAAAGTTGATGATAATTTCTATATTTTATGATAATTTATAATTTCCCGCCGCATCAAGTAGTATGACGCATGTAAAAATCCGCTAGCGCAGAGAGGTCAAGTTAAGGAGGTTTAATTGCTTTAAAAATTGTATTGTACTTCAAGGTTCAAGGACGTTAAAAAAATAATTTTAGATTTTTCGTACTAACTACTACTTAGAGGTAGAAAAAAAAAATTGATACACCGAAACCGCTAAACTTATTTGGATGGAATTTAATACAGATATTTAGGACTCGACAGGTTTAGGATTCAATAAAAGGGATTTTTTTTATAGCATAAGCCGGTAAACGAGCAGACGGATCACCTGATGGTAAGCAATCGGCGCCGCCCATGGACACTCGAAACACCAAGGCATTACAAGTGCGTTACCGGCCTTTTCGGAATTGGGAATTTGAGGATTGTGGAAAATTCGGGGATTCGGGAGATGGGCACTAGGGAGGGGGTAATTGGGCCTCCGGTAAGCTCACTCACACGACGAAACGCAACGCAAGCGGTGTTTTACGTCGTTTTTCTGTGAGGCTGTGGTATCACTCCGGTCGAGTCGGCCCATTCGTGCCGAAGCGTGGCTCTCCCACACTTGGGATTCAAATTCAAATTCAAATCGCTTATTGCGAATATAGGTCAAGTGCAGATGTTACAGTAGTTATTATAAAATAATTGGATCAGCTACATTCTGCCATTTACCATGCAATACTTATTGTAAAAATTACAATTTATTATTTATTACTTACATTATTTAAATTAGTCAAAAGAAAATATTAATTACAATTACAATTATTTATGGAAATGGGAAATCTGCGTAAAAATTGGGTTTCTAAAAACTATTTGGGTAAAATTAGACACTTACAACCCAAAGAACAATATAGGCAATTATTTAAAGAATGGGTAAAGAGGATATACAGGATTGTTTTATTTCGAAAGTGTCACAGAAACGGGAAATCTACGTCTAAATATCTGTGTCTTAAAATCTAAACATATTTGACTGAAATTCCGTACAATAATAATATAAGCCCCAAGAACGGGTTTAGACAGTTTTTATCCCAGAAACCATACGGGAACGGGAACTACGCGTCAAAATCCCGGGACACCATTTCTTTTAAACTACTAAACCTATTTGATAGAAATTCTGCACAATGATAGGTTAAAACTGCCTCGTTGGCCGAGTGGTCGCAAGTGCGACTGCCGGGCAAGGGGTCTCGGGTTCGATTCCCGGGTCGGGCAAAGTATTACTGGGTTTTTAAAAAAATCTCAGTAGTAGCACGGAGTCTGGAATTGTGCCCGGTATATGGCAATAGGCTCACCCCCTATTACATGGGACTCATAACATAAATAGTGAAAAGCGGGTGTTACATTGTACAGTGGCATAATGTGCACCTCTGCCTACCCCTTCGGGGATAAAAGGCGTGATGTTATGTATGGATAGGTTAAAACCTGAGAAATGATCTAGGTAGGAAATATATTACAATTTTTTATAATGAAAATTCTACGGAAACGAGACCTACGTGCGTAAAATTTAGAACTATAGTTATGTATTTTGAACCACGTTATCTTTTACAAATTGACAAAAGAGGAATCCAAAAGTACTGACTTGATTGAAATTATATATCATACTAGAAATAGGCCTTGGAAAGGGGAATCTTATTTCTGCATGATGTTATTAATGCGCGGACGAAGTCGCAAACAAAAGCTAGTTTCCAATAAACACAAAACTATTTAAGGTGATTTTGTTTTATAATAACTATCGTGAGACATACTAAATTAAGTAAAAACGTAAAAAGCTCACTGAGAAGAGCTTTTCTCAGTATATTCACGTGAGTAACTCTCGTTTTTATTTAAGGTGAACTCATAATTGGAATAACAGAAGAAACACTAAGTATTATGACAACATGATGAATTAAAAAAAACAAAAAAAAATAGGATCTCATGATTTAAAACAACATCATTTATTGTTATAATATGTAAATAAAGATTAAATTGTATCAAATTACAATAGGAATTCATTCATCACATAATAATTTATTTCTTTACAAGCTTTAACAATTTTATGAATACTGTCCCGGTTTAAATCCACCGTGTTACAGCAGCGGCATAAAAAAAGGTAAAGATGAACAATCGCCGCAAATAGTCAGTAAACATACGGTCCCTTTGTTTTAATTGTTCAGTAAAACAAACCGTATTCTAATAATAATAGCCATAGAAATAAATTTGAATTTCACCTTGAAATTCAGAAAAAGATCAAAGTAGAAAGCCGACGATACCATATTTAAATATTTGACCCAGATGCCGAATCAGCTTTAATGCTTGACATATATTTCTTGTGTCGTAAGAATGATATTGGAAGTACTTTTTTGTTAACATTATTGTAATAGGGTAGATGATTCTAATGGTCGTCTGGTAGATTGTTTTGAAACATTAGACGAGGATTTTATTTTACAGATGTGGATTAAATTAACACTATGTCCAATAGCCGTCAAACGTTTTGGCTCGTTTTTAATTTGTGTGTTATATAGTTGATTGATGATTGTAATGTTCGTCTAGTCGATTGTTTTAAAAGGATTTTAAGTTTTGTTCGTATTTCGTTCGTCAATTGTTTTGGTTCGTATTGAATTTGTGTTTGTTATACCGTTGATAGTTTAGATTGTGCTTAGTCTTTACGCACAGCTTTTTTGGTTACGAGTTACTTTAAAAAGGCGCCCAGCTTTGTCAGCTGAATAAAGGGTATTTGAAACAAAAGATTGGAGAGTATGAGATTCTTACCTTACTTAACCTGCCCCGGTGTCCACCATCATCATCTATCAAGTCCTCTTATAGACCTACTTCGGAGGTTTAATGATAAAACATATTTTAAATGGACTTTAAGTGAACAATCAAATAAAGATATTATTTATAAAGTCAAAGTCAAAGTCAAAGTCAAAGCATTTATTTCAATTAAACCATAGTTTGGTACTTTTGAAACGTCAACAAATACAAAATAAATAATAGTCTGTCAGTCAGTCCGTCAGTGAAGCTAGGTGAAGCTAGGTGCTCATTCCAAAACGTAGATTCGAATGGAGAAGAACGAGCAAGAAACTCCATTCGTTACTCTTTTAAAAAAGTATGTTCTACAATGTCTCTGATACATATTTCAATACTGTACGCATATGTAAGAACAATGCAAAGACACGCTTGACGCATTATACTAATACCTTACTAAAATAAAAATAAAAATAATAAAGATCTTAAGTCTAACATGGTGCTCACATATGCATACTGACAATCCATAGAAATAGTGCTTCTATACAAGAAAAAGGAAACTCTTTGTTTCAATAAAGAAAGAAATGCTCGATGCCGTAAGGAAACTAGATTGTCTACATTAGAATTAAAGTATTAAATTATGTATTATATTACCTACTATTGGAATTTAACTACTGACTACATTTGAGTATTGTCCAGTGGAGCCGAACCAACATGCTGCCAAGCATTCTTATCTTCAAGATAATCTGTCAGTGTGTAGTAAGCTTGATTACATAATTCGCGCTTAATATATGTTTTAAATTTACTTTCATTGAGATCTAGTATGCTATTTGGTATTTTATTATAGCATTTAATACCTAACCCCATAAAGGATTTCTGTACTTTGGACAGTCTGAATTGCGGTATAGCTAACTTATTTTTGCCTCTAGTATTAAAATTGTGTCTATCGCTTCTTTTTTCAAACAATTGCCTATTTTTCCTTACATACATTATATTTTCATATATATATTGACAGGGCACCGTTAAAATATTTATCGTTTTAAACAATTCTCTCAACGATTCGCAACGGCGTAAGTTATATATTGCTCGGATAGCCCGCTTTTGCAGAATAAATATTGATTCTATTTCTGCAGCTCGACCCCACAACAAAATGCCGTACGACATAATGCTGTGGAAATAACTAAAATAGACAAGCCTAGCTGTATCCACGTCCGTGAGCTGTCTAATCTGTCTAACTGCAAAAGCAGCTGAGCTCAATCTCCCCGAAAGCGCCTTTATATGCGGACCCCATTGTAGCCTATTGTCTAACGTAATGCCTAAAAATACTGTCTCGTCGACAAATTCTAACTTTTGACCGTTCAAAACAATATCACAATCGTTACTACGCACGTTTGGTAAACTGAATTTAATACATTTTGTTTTTTTTTCATTAAGTGCTAGATTATTAATGGTAAACCAATTATGCACTTGAAGAATGGAGCTGTTTACGTCGTCAAGATTATTTGTACGTCGATCTACTTTAAAAATTAATGATGTATCATCTGCAAAAAGCACCATTCTTGGTTCATTTTTAAATATAAATGGCAAATCATTTATATAGACTAAAAAGAGAAAGGGACCCAATATTGAACCTTGAGGAACGCCCATATTCATCCCAGAGCCCTGTGAGTTAATACCGTTAACATGAACCTTTAACTGTCTTTCTTCTAAATAAGATTTCATAAGACGGAGCGCAGAGTTTCTTATCCCGTAATGATCTAATTTCAGCAAAAGTGTTTCGTGGTCAACGCAATCAAATGCTTTTGAGAGGTCACAAAATACACCAATAGCATCCTGTGCTTCCTCCCAAGCACCAAATATTTCCTTAATCAAAGTGACACCGGCGTCAGTTGTGCAACGACCTTTAGTGAAACCGTATTGTTGTTGGTGAAAGATGGAATGTTTATTAAAATGATGAAGCATCCGAGACAGCATCAACTTTTCAAAGACTTTGCTGAGAACCGGTAAAACAGACACTGGCCTATAGTTGTTAGGTTCTTTAGTGTCACCACTTTTAAATAGTGGGATAACCTTACTATATTTCATTAGGTCAGGGAAAACACCGTCATCTATACATTTATTGAAAATCACAGCCAGATATGGCGCTACAGTTTGGATAAGTGACTTGCAAACCATTACCGATAAGCCCCAAAGATCCTCCGTTGATTTAGTCTTGATTTCTTTAAAAACTTTTATAATTTCTAGAGGATTCGTATATCGAAAACTAAAGTCGTATTGACATGATTCTATGTTGTTCTTAAGCAAAGTTACAGAGAGGTTTGCTGATGACTTTAAATGTTCAGTTGTTTTAATAGGAATACTAGTAAAAAAATTTTCAAACTCCTGGGCTACATCTACGTTTGATGTAATCTGTCCCCTTTCGGTATTTAAATTAAATTCTGAGTTTCTTAATCTTTTCCTACCGGTCTCGTTGTGTATAACTTTCCAAGTAGTTTTTATCTTATCATCAGACGATTTTATTTTATTACTAATATAAAGACGTTTCGCGACTCTGCATACTATTCTAAAGGTTTTTGAATAAGATGTTACATACTGGTGAAATTGGGGGTCATTTTTGTACGGTTTCATTCCATAAAGTTCAAAAAGTCTGTCCCTACTCTTACGAATACCTACAGTTGCCCAGTCGCTAAATACAAATTTGGTATGAATATCTTTATTTTTTATTGGCAAAATATTGTTAAATTCCTTGTTTAACATCTCAAAGAAATCATTGTAGAATTTATTCAGATTACTAGTATCAAATACTTTCATACATAATTTAGTAGCTAAAGAATTGCTCAATTTCTCCAGATTTTTAAACGTGATTTGTCTATATCTTATTTGAATTTTTAGGATAGGTAAATAAGAGCTATACGCAACCATTAGTCCACAGTGGTCGGATGGCAAGCTATTTATAATATGTTTTTCTTTGTAGTCACAATTACAGAAAACATTATCAATACAGGTGGCGGTAGAGGATGTTATCCTTGTTGGTTCTAAAAAAACATTTTTTAAATTAAATGATCCAAATAAATTTAACAATTCCATACTACTAGTACTATTTTCTAATAAATTAATATTAAAATCACCACATATAATTACTGATTTGTGACTAGAACAAACCTTTCTTAAAACATCCTCCATGACAGAATCAAATACTGTAAGATTCTGATAGTTAGGTGGCCTATACACACAGACAATAACATGTCTATCCAGCTCAACACAGGACAACTCAATGGTGTGTTCAACTGACAGTGCTACAATGTCTTTCCTTCCTTTTGATTTAATACTATTTTTTACTAATATTAAGGACCCACCATGTAACATATGCTTTCTACTGAAATTACTAACTACATTATAATTATCTAAATTTAAAGATATTAGTTGGTCCTCCTTAAGCCAATGTTCTGATAGACAAATTACATCAAATTTAGTCTTTTCCAGAAACATCTCTAATTCAAAGACTTTTGAGGAGCAGCCCTGAATGTTAATATAAAATAATTGTAGATTGTGCTGCCCCTGAGTATAATTGTACTGTGCTTTTTCCTTGCCAGAATATACCTTATTATTTATATGATTTATGAAGGTATGTTCTGTTGTCTTAAAATCTAGTTTAAACTTAAATTAAAATGTGCCTCTGTGCTGTTAGACACTCTAGACAACACAGATTCGTCCTTAAAACTATTTTCTGTTATACAAGTTATAACAGTGTTAATATTATATGCTATCAGCATAGCAATTTTATGTCGACATTTATTTGAAAGGTGTACACCTTTCTTTGTAAAAACAAAAGTACTAATAAATTTATTAGTGTCAAAAAATAAAAGTCTGTCATTGTGACATGTCATTTGGTGTAGTGTATTATTTAGTACACCTATGTATTTGTTCTTAGAACATGATAAACTATTAGAATATGGGAAGGCACACAATATTATCTTCCCTGTGTTCAAGTTCAACAAGGTGTCCACACCGTTCACAATGTCCCCTCTTGTTATTCCTAAGCTGTTACCTAACATTAAAACTAAAACTGACTTTTCATTTAAATCTGCATGAGTTATTTGTTTAATAATATTTTTATAACTCATGTTGTGGTAACTGTTGTTTATAAAACTTTGTTTAAGATGACCATACAGCATTTGGCCAAATCCAGAACCTAACTCATCACTGTAGACATGTGTTTTATAATTTTGTGTATCTTTTAGTTGGGTATTTACTGCAACTTGAGTAGGTAGCAAAAGTGAAGCCTCCGGGGTCTGAGGTTGATTCACACAACTGCATTCTAGGTTATTTGTTAAGGATTCATACCTTTCTGCGTTGTTCTTCACCAAATCCATCAGCTCAGAGGCCACAAGCAGGTGCTCACTCAACTGTTGTTGGGAATATTTGTATTTCTCAAATATCTCCCTCAACATACCTTCCTTTGTCATTAAATCATTATGAAGGCTTGTTATGTTTGAGTCATACATTAATCTACAGCGGTCAAGCTCAGTGGTGCAAGATTGAAGATCTCTAATTAAATTAATTTTATCTTTTCTTAGACTCAGGTTCACAGGTGCGCATCGAATGTAAGTTTTAACAACAATGCAATTTATGAACTGAAATATTTTAAGAGTAATGTCTTTATTTCTTTATTCTGTTCTAGATATCGCTGGCTGATCTCCTAGGATTGGCTCTGACGGCAGTCAGTACAGCAAAAGAAGAACAAAAATTAAGGGAAATTAATAAAAAATTGAAGGCCCAACGTAAGTGTCTAACAATTTATTAATACATATTATCATGGTGTTTGTTCAAGTAAATAAGTTCCTTAACATTTGTGTCTTGTTACAGTTGCCAGTTGTGTGGAGAGGTTAGGATTAGAATACATAAGCGGTGGCAAAGAGGAGGTGGAGCTGGATGAACCTAATGTAAGATACACTCACTTCATTTATTTTATATTTTTCCGCGCACCTTTGGTAAGTAATTGTTTCGTTTTGTTCAACATCTTTTAATTTTCAGAAACGGAAACGTAAACTGCCAAAACAGTTGACTCCACCGCCACAACCAGAGGAGACGGAGGAAATTGACGTAGCTGCTCTTTTCTGTAAGTATTAGATTGGTAATAAGATTGAGTAACTTACCTATAATACAAAAAGGAATCGAGTGCAGAATAAATCAAATCTCGAGTGCAGCTGAACCGATTTCGCTGTTTTTTTGTTGGGTTTGTTATTGTCAGGAAAAGGAAATAACATTTTAAGGCTAAACTAACTTCACGGAGTTTCCTAGTGATTTATGAAATAGGATTCGTGATCATCGTATTTCTCTATTTCAGCCCAAGATCAATTGCAGCTGATATACGCTGCAATTGACGCAGACGTTTCCTCCTCGGCGGCGACTTCACCACCGGCAGAGGTGCTGCAGCCACCGCCATGACCGTATCCACCACCATTAAGGACGAGGATTTAGCTCGTATTTTGGCTCGGATTAGAATAAATACGCGAATAAGTTCCCCGCAACTTTGTCCTATCACAAAAATACAGGAAACTGTTCCAGCAGAAAACATTAGGCTGGGTAATTTGGATCTGGAGGCACAAAGTAAGTTTAAAACAAAACATTATTACCATAACCATTCAATTTATTGTGTTTGTTCGAGTAAACAAATTCCTTAACATGAATGTGTGTCTTGTTACAGTTGCCAAATGTATCGAGCAGTTGCCTCCTGATTACATCGTCAGCGATGATGAAGAGGAGGTGCAGCCGGAAGAGCCCAACGTAAGATACGCTCACTTTATTCGTTTGTCATACGCCGCGGCGTAGGCAGTTAGCGCACATTTTTCGAGTCTCAAACTATCGTTGTACCGAATTGCACTCAATTATGTTCGGTGGTTTAAGCAATAGAGGGCCCTGGAATTTTAACGTATAGTTCCTGTCTCGTGAGATTTCCTTTCCAGTGCCAGTGTCACAAACTCTTGTTGAACCGAATTTCACTCAGGTTCAGTGGTTAATCTCAGTCTATACAGTCGTCAGGGTGTGAAAGGCGAGACGCGGGTAGGCCGATTCCGAGTTGCGAACAAATCGATGTTAGTACCTCGGGATATATTATTCAGGGCTAACGCGTGTTTGTTTTGCCGCTGCATGAAATTTATAATTTATCGTCACAGGTGTCGTTTTCATGGTTGTCGAGATCCAAGATGGCGGCTGCATTAAATTTTTAATTTATCGTCTTATGTTTCGTTTTCACGGTTTTCATAGGTAGTAAAACTGATGATTCTGTGTAAATCTTCAACGGTGTACTGTAACTTAAAACCTTGTGTTTGGGTTTGTATAATTTGTATTGATTAGAACTTTGCACCTATGTGGATTATAAGTGGCAAAACGGGTATATGTAGCTCTCCACTAAAAATAATAAAACAAAAAATAAAAACTGCGTTTCAAAAACCGACTTCTCAAAAAACCTATAAACTAAAAACAAATAAAAAGTAAAAATTAAAAAGGAAAAAAAATAACTTTATTAGTACTGATGAGTTACTCACCCACTAACCGATTTCTAGTCGGTGCCATAACCTCATATTTTTACGCGCAAGCGAAACCGTGGGCAGCTAGCCCATGAATAAAATCAATTCAGTTAATTGAATTCATACGTTTTCATTTAAATCTCTGATTTTGATGCAGCCAAATACTATTATTAGTCCTTGAAAACAGTTTCCTATTGGCAGTCAAAGGCTTCAGCTATATATTAAGGAGCTTTTGGTAGTATTTTCACACATTAGGTCACATTCTTCCTTTCCTCTCGCGCGTCTCGTACACGGGTTTAATAGAAAGCGATTGAACAATTCTGTTCAATCAAATAAAGAACGGGTTGCAACTTGAAAATATACATCACAGAAAAAGTTTCCAATCGGTGCAAGTCACTCTCGTACACCCGTGTGTAAAGTTGCTGCGATGGGCACTCAACTCTCTCGTACACCCTTGTGTACAAGAAACGCGCAAGAGGTTATTAAATATGTTCATCATCGGTAATGTAGGATTCCAACGGTAAAATAATTATTACCATCGGTCTCGTAGTTTCGGAGTAAATTAAATTGAAACAAACCAACAAACAAAAAATCAAATCTTTTCTTTTTATACAATTATTAAAGATGTAGATGTAGATACCATTTATTACTATTGTCTTTACCATTCACGGGATCAAAGGATCCCGGTCATTGGGGAGGCGTACAAGGGGCCGAAGCCAATTGCGCAGAGGCTCTTTAGACAACGTTAATCTAAATGTAATGGACAAACAAACCGGCGACTATCCCTGTGTGCACTATGGAAATGCACCCACACAGAAGAGTCCCCGGTTAGTGTAGAACTATTGTAAATAATGGAAAAAAAGGTAGGACAATGGATAGGTTGCTGTGGACTGGTAAATTGGGAACTATGGATAACTATGGTACCTGCCGAACGAATGTAATTACTACACTAATAATGGCAGGTGGAGACTCGCCAACTCACCGACTGGGCCCCGGGAATTATTGCTAGATATAGGAACAGAGACAACGGAAATGTGAGTGGCTCAAGGGTTAAGAAACTACCACCGCTTTCTACCCAGATTATTTGCTTTAGCCGAAATCTCCTGCATTCCTGGCTCACTCGCAACTAACGAATAGTAGAAGAAAGAGGGCGAACAACTAACATGTAGTCTAAGTAGGGACAGTTTGTTATGTTATCGCGTATATTAATTTTCAGGTTTTATTTAAACTGTCAAACACCAAGCGGTCACCGGTGACCGCAACCTATTGTTCTATAATTGTGTCTATAATGACGGTACTCGACGAGTTAAGAGTATTATTAGATTTTCGTGTTGTTCGTTTGATTATTTGCCACATTGTCTTATAGTACGAGATCCGGCTGCAGAATCAGTGTACCAATCGAGTGTTTGCTGAAAACCAATTTTTTACATATATTCATGATTAGGAGAATTTATATCCACCAGGTTGCCTATCAAAATGTGGCCGCTAGTATTTTTAATTAAATTATTAATAATTCATAATCCGTAAGAAATTTCATTGACTTTTTTTTTCAATGAAATGTCGTCTACTTTACGGCAACATCTATAAAGACTCTGAAAAATTATGGTTGCCGTTGCGCACCTGGCCGCACCTCTTCGCAGCCAGGTATACACAGGTATGAATTTGTTACATTTATACACCCACAACGTACATTTATAATTTATATATCAAATTAAAGCAAATTTTTTTCTGTATATTATTATATACGGTTGCTTAATTAAATCTGGCCGCCAATAAGGGTTGCTGGCTAATAAATATAGTAAATATTAAAAGTAGAGTGAAAGAGAGCTAGCGCGTAACACCACTAGTCAGACGAGGATAGCGATTGCCAGCTGTCGGACGGTTTAAAGCCATTGCGCATGCGTCAGATTTAACATTTTACGTGCCTTATGTATGAACTCCCAAAGTGCCAAAGTGTAAATGCCGCAAGATTTTTATTATTCAACAAAATGTACGCTTCAAAAGGAAGTAGTGAGAAATTTATGAGAAGAATTAAAGGTTTTGACTCAACGCACATTCCACCATGCTGGAAATCTTTAAAGGAAAAATTATTGCGAACCATCTTTGTTAATTCGATGTGGTTAAATGCTACTGAGCGGGATTGCATCAAGTTCAGCGCGGAAAATAATGGCTGGCTGCTGTTAGATGGTTTTTTAAAACCAACATGGTTCCTGGGAGATCCAACTCCAGCGCAAGTTGAGAATGTGCTGTGTGATTCCACGAACAAGCCTTCCGATAATAACGACGATACCGATATTTCTGATGAAAGTGATAGCTGCGATGATAGTGTGACTGAGAGCTCCGATGATTCAGATTTTTAAAAAAGAGTCATGGAAGTATAATACAAATATATAATAATATACATTTTAAAAATTTATAATTTTCTTAAACTAATGATTGATGAATATGTAAAATAAATGTAATACTTGAATAAAATTAAATCTTTTTTCATACAGTACTTGTACAACACAATTTTTTTACATAAGTAACCTTGATTTTATTTATCATCAATATTCATTTTTTTTGTAATTTTTAAATTTGTCATTGACTTTTTAATTTTTTATTTTAGAAAAGAAAGACGTTTCTTTTGGAGTATTTATTATTTTGAGTCGTACCTAGTGACTAGTGGTGTTACGCGCTAGCTCTCTTTCACTCTACTTTTAATATTTACTATATTTATTAGCCAGCAACCCTTATTGGCGGCCAGATTTAATTAAGCAACCGTATATAATAATATACAGAAAAAAATTTGCTTTAATTTGATATATAAATTATAAATGTACGTTGTGGGTGTATAAATGTAACAAATTCATACCTGTGTATACCTGGCTGCGAAGAGGTGCGGCCAGGTGCGCAACGGCAACCATAATTTTTCAGAGTCTTTATAGATGTTGCCGTAAAGTAGACGACATTTCATTGAAAAAAAAAGTCAATGAAATTTCTTACGGATTATGAATTATTAATAATTTAATTAAAAATACTAGCGGCCACATTTTGATAGGCAACCTGGTGAATATAAATTCTCCTAATCATGAATATGTGTAAAAATTTGGTTTTCAGCAAACACTCGATGGGTACACTGATTCTGCAGCCGGATCTTAGACTATTAGTTTTGTTTTAGATATACCCATTTCTTGTGAATACTTTTGTTTTTTAAATAGTTTTACACATTATTTTTTGTAGTGATGTTGTTGTTATCTTTTGTTTGATTTACTAATGCTTTTAACAGTCCTTTATGTTTACACGATTTATTTATTCCCTTAGTTATGTAGTTATTAGTTTTAAGTTTTGTTATTTTGATACGTTTTAGAGGAATTTTGAAGTTTATATTTTCTTTCTTGGCTTCGAATAGTTTGTAGTTCTCGTTTATATTGTTTTCAGGTATTAATTAGTTTTCCCAAGTTATTTCTCTCAGTTTCAGTTTAAAAGGTATGAAGTATTTTGGATTGTTTGTCTGCCGAATTAACTTGTAGATGGGTTTATTTAGTGATATAGTAGATGATGTATTATAGTATATTAAATTTTTGTGGTCAGAGATGCCTTTGTCATCGACAGGTACTGATGCATTTTTATTATTTGGAGAGATTAGGTCAATGCAGGTTACGACGTGGAAGTTTCTCTAGTTGACTTTTTAACAATTTGGTGCAAGTTATATTCAAGTATAGACGCTTAAAGTTTTTAGTAGTGATTAAAGTTCGAGACAGCATTAACATTAAAGTCACTACTTATTATTATATGTTTCTTGTACTTAGTGGTTTTTAGTTTGACAAGTAATAATTCGATAACTGTAAAAAATGATCTATGTTACGGTCTGTTCTGTACAAAGCAATTAGTAATACATTAGGGTTAATTTGTATCACACAGCGCTCGATGACATATTCTATTATTAAATCCGTAATATCTGACCTCTCAGTGTACGCAGTACCAGTTGGCAGTAGGATGGCGACACCACCGCCGCGACGCTGTTGACGACAATATGATGAGGCGATCTCGTAGCCGTCGACTTGCACGTAGGGGTGTTGTTTTGCTGAGATCCACGTATCTAATAGGCATACAGCTTGGTATTGTTGTTCTTGTAGTAGACGTCTAGCAGGTAGGTTTTGTTTTTGATTACATAACATCACGCCTTTTATTCTCGAAGGGGTAGGCAGAGGTGCACATTATGCCACTGTACAATGTAACACCCACTTTCCACTATTTATGAGTCCCATGTAATAGGGGGTGAGCCTATTGCCATTTACCGGGCACAATTCCAGAGTCCGTGCTACTACTGAGAATTTTTAAAAACCCAGTAATACTTTGCCCGACCCGGGAATCAGTCATGTTGTTTTTGATTCTTTGTAAGTTTTGTATCATTATACTGTGTTTAGTTTCGAAAGGAGCAATATTTCGAGTTATGAGTAGTTGAGCTCCTGTAGGAATTATTGGTAACGTTACTGTTGACGGTCTCTTTGTTGCTAGTATGAGTTTTTCCGGTAGATATTGTAGTTGTAGTAGTAGATTTGTTTGGTGATCCAATTGTAGTGTTTTCGGTTTCCGTATCATTATAGACTTAAAATTTAAAGCCAAAATTTTTTTATTTGAACGCGCTAATGTCCGATTTGTACAATATTATTTTTGTGTTGTATCCAACACATCGATTATCAACAAAGGTCGTAAAATATCCCGCTTTGATCAATAGGTGTCGAGCAGAGCGTGTAAAACCGCGTGGAAGTAGCTAGTCAGAGAATAATATCTTAAAGCCGCCACTATAAGTTTATACAATCTTCCACAATCCTCAAATTCCTAATTCCCAAAAGGCCGGTAACGCACTTCTAACGCCTTGGTGTTCCGGGTGTCCATGGGCGGCGCCGATTGCTTACCATCACGTGATCCGTCTCCTCGTTTACAGGCTTATGCTATATAAAAAAAATAACATATCTTAGTTGGTTGCTATAGTGATGTCATTCGTCAGTATTTGTTTGTAGATCAAAATTAGGTGTCAATTAAATCCTAATTGATATTACTTATTTATTAATTCACTAGCGTCTGCCGCGGCTTTGCTCGCGTTCTTTTACTATGACTGTGCTGTGACTCTTGCTTACGGTTTTACTTATGAAATGACATAAAAGAATATATATCAGTGAAAACTGCATCTAAAGCAAATAAGGGGCTTTTGAGACTATGGTGTACAAACTTGCAGACAAGCAGACAAAAAAGCTAATTACATTTTGGAGTTCGCACTCGATATAATAACAGCCCCTGCTTTTTTTTTTCATTTTCATTGTATCTATAGAAGCACTTTTCTACAATTTTATTGCATGTAATGAAATAGATTGATGAACCACATTTACATGTTTACAGGAGGAAAGGCGAGCCAGGAACGCTCAATATGAGAGGAAAGGTGAGAGGAGTTGGCGAAAGCCCACTGCGAACTGGCAGAGGCCGCAGGGTGTGACCCTAATGTACGTTTACGAAATCTGAAATGTTTGCGAGTTTAAGATGAGCCGACTTTATTGTTTTATTTCTTTTTGTCGGAATAATGCAATTTTCAAGGCACAAAGTAAGTGTAAAATTAAACGTTTCTTGATAACATCAAATTATCGTGTTTTTCGAGTAAATAAATTCCTTAAGATGAATGTCGTGTAACTTATTACAGTTACGAAATGTATCGAGCGGTTGCGCCAGTTGCACCGGTTGCCAGCGGAATTTCCGTCATCACGGATGATGAAGAAGAGCCCTGTGTAAGATATTTTTACTTTATTCATTTCCTACTGCATGTACTGCACGGTTGGCTGCCGTGTCGGGTTCGATTCCCGCACGGAACTTTGTGTGATCCACAAATTATTGTTACGGGTCTGGGTGTCATTTTGTTTGTGAACTTGTATGTTTATAAACGCACCCACGACACAGGAGATAATCCAAATGTGGTGCAACGTTTATTAAAAAGAAAAAAAAGAAAGAATGAAAAAAATTACGCCGCGGCACTGTGTAGGTAGTTAACGCAGCAGATTCCTTTCATAGATTTTTGAACAAACTACATAGTTTTTAACAGTAACTGTAGTGTCGTTACGCCCTCTTGATAGCACACTTACCTCTACTTAAAGCTTTTTCTTAAATTTTACAGCTACAGCCGCAACCAACCTTTCCGCAATCAACATCACTACCTCCATTTGAACTTTCACCACCATCAGCACCGCTATGAAATTACGACTTGGAAGACTTGATACTTTCTGTGAGTAGGATATTTGTATTTGAGTAACTAGTCATAATAAAAATAGGTGTTGTGACCATTTGATTGGTGGCTTATTATGTCTATTTTGGTTGCATTTATAACATAACTAACTAGCGTTGAATTTTTGTAGTACCAGAATAAGAGCCGCCACCATTGTCACAACCACCGTAGCAAGATGATATTCCACTTCTCTGTGAGTATGAGATCCACTGACTAAAAACCACCCGTTCCTTCTCCTGCAAGTCGAAGCGGTGCCCCGGTAACCCGTTAAGTTCTCCGCGGCTCTGTATCGGCATCAGCCCTGTTGGGCTGTGGTGGTCCGATAGCGCGCGCAGGACGCGACGCGCGGGACGCGACGCGCGGTACGCGACGCGCGGTACGCGACGCGCGGTACGCGACGCGCCGCACGCGACGCGCCGTATGCACTGGTCTGGTTATGGTCGGGTGGCGAGCTACTCATGCTCGCCGTCCGTAGGCTCGTGCATACGGTGGCCGAAGATCGTCACACGATCCCCGACGCCCGGACTGTTATCAATGATAGCGTCATATCAATCCGCTGGTGAGACAATATAGCGGTCTTTTTAAGACTTTGCTTGCATTGTTCAAAAGCTTCAATCGCTTCGCTTGACCATTTAATTTTAGTTTTATCATTCTTTCTGGAGTTTGCTATATATGCGTTGAATAAAGATTGATGTGACACTGCATTGGGCGAAACGACGTAGTTGCTCCACCGTCTCTGGTTTTGGGTACTCGATGATGGCTTTGACCTTATGCTCTGCTAGACGAATGCCTTCTGCAGACACATGATAACCTAAATATTCTAACGAACTTTGACCAAATATACATTTAGACTAATTACTCGTGATATTATTATTATGTAATCTTTGAAATACAATAGATTAATGCTCAACGTGTTTGTTAAAGTGGTTGGTTTTCATTTAAATAAATGATGGACACTTTATATACGTAATTAATTATTGTAGAGGTAGAAACTTAGAAAACACATTTCGGCGCCATGCGATGATGCGATGCAAAGACAAGGAAGCAGGGAAAAAAACACAAATTAACAAATGACATCCTGCACGGTTACCTGCCCAAGGAAAAACTAGATGGCGCTACTTGTATAATTTATATGTTTAAGATTATAAAATTTACCTTATAACTATAAATAAGAGGGAAAGTAACACTGTTGTGTTACTTTCCCTCTCACTGCTTATTTTGGCGTCGTCAATAAAATTAAATACAAAATCTAAACCTCTGAAAACGGTGTCCATAAGTCTCTGAAATCTCTGTGCCGCATTGTTCAAACCGAAAGTCATTCTTAAGAATTCAAAAAGACCGAAAGGCGTTATGATCGCGGATTTTCGGGAGCTGTTTCAATAACATGGTTCGCGCGATTGTATCTATTTTTTAAAATATTGACTTATTCACGTTAGAGTGTATGTGAAATCTTGAAAGCGCGGAATTGGGTACCTCTCGGGCTTTGTAATGACGTTCAGTCGGCGATAATTGCCACTAGGTCTGATATCACCATTTTTCTTTTGTACTACATGTAAGGGAGTTTCCCAAGCGTTTTTTGAGGACCGACAAATACCGAGCTCCTGCATTTTTGGAATTCAGCTGTAACGAGGTTATAACGAGTCGGTGGGAGTCTTGCTTTTGCGAAAATAGGAGGTCATGTGGTTTCAATACAATGCTGAACTGGACTAGGCTAGACTACCTTGAGGCTGGGTTTTACTATTTCAGCCATGACAGTTTTTGCTTCTCGGCTCAACGGAGATTGCTGTGCATGTGACACCTCGATAACCTGATGAACTGCGCGACATTGAAATATATTGTCAGCAATTGACGAGAGATGATCCAAATCTTTTAGCTCTTATACTACGAGAACTGCGTGAATGGTTCCGGGTAAATGACTTTGCCATAGTACCTCTATTTTTAGGTTCTTAGGGTGTCATCAGCAATTTTGTCCTTGGCGAGCTTTCTCATGCGTCGCAAAAGTTGTGATGGTTTTTGGTCGCCCAAATCCATCGCTTATTAATATTTGAAGCTTCCTGTTTTTCGACTCCTCGTATATTCGTGCGGAGGCTCTATTAATAAATCTGTGTCTTGTTGAATAGCTACTTTGCTTAATTTAGATAAAGAATATCGTACCTGGCGTCGTTTTAAAGTTTTGGTGGTGCCAGAATTGCATCGGTGCGACAGATCCTTACTCTGGGTTGATCTGTCCAATACTCAGGAATTTTGTAAGTCAAGGTGATTATTGCTGCCAATTCCAATGCGGCTGAAGGGTGTGCATTTGTCATCTTGCGCGGCTACACTAGACAATTCGAAATAATATCAATACATAGTATAAAACAAAGTCGCTTTCGCTGTATGTCCGTATGTATGCTTAGATCTTTAAAACTACGCAACGGATTTTAATGCGGTTTTTTTTAATAGATAGAGTGATTCTTAAGGAAGGTTTGTATGTATAATACATGCATATTGCACCCGTGCGAAGCCGGGGCGGGTCGCTAGTAATGTATAAAATATATATCCATTATTTTCATTCCTTTTTTCTGAACCCAAGATGGAAAATCCTCATGGAGCCTCCTTGCCTGAAATCTGTCGGGATGAGCACTACGATCAAATCGATCATTATCCATAGAGTTTGGATTAAGGTACGTTATTAAGTTCGGCCGTAAATAATTTTAGTAAGAATGCGTACGCCAAGAATATTCGACATATGCTGCTTGGTATCCCTGAGCATTACTAAAGCAGTAGTGATCATACGACTTCATAAGGGTCGCAGACAGATGCTGGATGCAAGTTGCTTACAAAGGCCGATTTGAGAGTTACTGGGGTAGGCCACCGTTCAGCAGCGGACGTCTTGTGGCGGATACGATATTGATGATGAAAACCATTAAGTAATTATGAGTTTAACTGAATAAACATTATCATCAGTAGCCCGGAGTGTAAGAAACCTTAAAGAACTTGGTTAAGCCATCCCGACCGTCCTGGTTGTGACAAACAGTAAAACAATAGATACTCCTTAAAAAAATTTGGGAATTCTCGTATTTTAGCAATTTGTATTGTGAAAGGATTAGGATTATAAGCCGACCTACCCTTTACAAATGTATAATAATGACTCCTATAACAATTACAATAATAATAATAATAAGCCCGCAGGGCACCTTGAGGCGAGGTGACTGGCATTAGCGATCCCGCGGGCTTACATCATCCTGAGTGCTCCAGGGAGAAGTCACCGTTCCTTCTTCTCCGGCTTGCCTTAATTGGCTGGCTGGAGTGAACGATAACAAGGAACAGGTCTCCCACCTCTGGCTTGCTCTCATTGGCCGTCCAGAGTGGAGTTGCGAGAGCAGTGATCCTGCTCGGAAGGTAAGAAACTATTAAGTACACAAAACACCGCTAATTAGTTCGCAGCACACATCGACACTACTATCATTTACACAATATACATGTGTGGGTAATTTCATATTAATAGATATGTATAGAAACATTCGTCTATCACACACATCTTGGTATTTAAATATCATTTTTGTATCGGTATACGTAATAATTTAGTAAATAAGTTTAAATAAAAACGAGGGTAAAGATAAAAATACTCATAACATAACAAACTTTGAATAAATCGAAATCAAATAATGAACGATCGAGCTATACAATACCCATATAAATATAGTGTTTTCTCATCGTATTTTTATGTTACTGAATGATATACAATATTTCGATAATCTCACCTACAGCGCGCTTGGCGCAATGGTTATCGCCTCCAGTTGTCGTCAAGTAAAGTGCCGCCGGATCGATTCCGGCATTCACATGTTGTTTTAGTATTAATTTATCAAATATTTGAAATTTGAAACAATTAAATCTTTTCTTTTTTTTCTTATCCTATTTTTCTAAATCTTATGTTAATTTTAATAGTAAATACTTTAGATTTATTTATACCTATAATATCTTTTATTTATATTTAGTTCTAGCTATTTATTATTTAGAATAATCTCATTTGCTTTATGCATTTCAACCAACTTAAATAAGATAAAAAACAGTAAAAAAGTAATAACTATGCTTTCTTAATGGTTGGATACCTGAGTATATTTGTAATGTTTGTGGCGACCATGGAATTTTATTTTACCCGCTTATGAAGAAACTACCGACTATACAAAACAAGTTTTTCAAATCACCCGACTTACAAAATAATTGCGTTCTTAGTTGTCAAATGTATGTGGATTTCATAGTTTATTGCTACGCTACTCATATTCGAGTGCAAAGTTATTTTTATTTTTACAAGATGTTCCAACACCTATCAACATTTAAAAAGGCTGAAATCATTGTTTTGCATG